TTAGGGGTTTTATCAAACTTGGGGGATATTGACAATCTCCTTGGATCAGGCATCTGATAGATGTCTGATTCGAACCAGACCTGTTTGTAATTCTGCACAAAAAAATGTAAGCACACTAGATCTTCGTGAACTACTGTGTTTGCAGATGGGAGGAGGAAGCTGGTGATTTTTAGGCTGCTTCTAACAAATTTATTATCTACACTGAAGCAGATCATAACTGACTTCCCTGTCTTTAAACACGAGGCGTTGTTCAGTAACGGTGTTTTTCACTGTTACAAAGTTTTGCAAAAAACTTAGTTGTAACAATTTGTAGTTCTGAATTTAAAAGAAAAAAAAAGGCTCAACAAAGCAAACCCAATGTAGAACCTGCTAGTATCTCACCCTTCTTGTCCATGCTGGTGTTTCATTTCTAGACAGCTGTTGAACTGTAATTGAGTAATTAGTGGTGTTTCAATAGCCTTTTTGAAGGCTTTTCAAGAAGGGAGGGAAGTTCTATGATATCTATCACAAAGAAGAGAAAATGTCTTTCAGCTGATTCTTTGTTTCTAAAGCTAATAAAATGTTACAGTATTCGATAGTTAACCCCCCCAGCCTTAAATAGGATTTCATACTCTGAAATATGTCACTGAGTTTAAATGTATTTTGGAGTTTGTTTTCTGCAGTAGATTGATAAACTAGGTAGTATAATTGTGGTGCCAAAAACTATGGAGTCACAAACTGCCTGTGAATGTCTTGTATCCTTACTTTCTTTCTAAAAAAGTTTCTCTGTAGATTCTAGCAATGGAGCTTCACAGCATGAAAATTATAAAATCGCCACAATATAAAAATCTTTGCTGTCTCCTTCATGATACTGGGCAAATAATAACAATAGAAGTTACTCTTTTGATTTTCTGCTATTTATGACAAGTCATTTATTTAAACTAAGCAGTAGAGATAAGTTATTCAAGGAGCTAAAAAATGAAAGACAAAATTATCTCTACCAAATTACCGTTGATCATTTAATGTGTTCGTGGGCTGTGTGAAATACAGATGTATTACCCTGACTGACAGAAAGAATGAGCTGCAAGGATTTTCTGATTAGGAAATTCCAAACGCGGTATATGAGGGTCTCATTTTTCTTTTGGCGTTTCCTAATTCATCTGATTACATTTTCACGCCAATAAAACTGTCCATAAAAGAGCCTTCATGAAGAAAATGTTTTCAGCCTGGACTTCATTTAAAATGCTAGGCCCTTTAAGAATAACAAAAAGAAAATCATGTGCTGACTTGTGCCGTTCTGCTCTCACTTAAGACCTGGTCCTCAGTCCAGTATTCAGTTTAACCATAACTGCTGGTTATCGGGCAGGTAAGTGCTTCCAGGCAATGGTTATGGTAGAAACTGTGTTAGATTGTCTAGTGCTCAATTCAGAAGTGGCCACTGAAAGCTGCCCTGGATCATGTATCTTTCCCCCCCTCTCATCCTTTGTCATGTATATACTGTAATTTGCCTTGGATTCTGGTTTCACTGCAGGGTGTAGGACTTGCCTTAGAGCAACGTATGAAAGATGACTCAAAGTAGAGAGTTGGGCTCAAGGTTCAGAGGTGATAGGGCCGGTTCAGGACAAATCTGGAATGGGCTCTCTGTTACAGACAGGTGAAGACAAACACTGATTAAGCTGCCATGGTCCCTCAGGCCTGAGTTCTGATGTCTTTGTAGCTTAGGGATTTTTTTTTTTTTTTTTAAAAAGATGATTGAAAGGTTAAAACTGAAGACTAAGTCATATGATCTAACACCATGGCTGTATATTTGATGTGTTACTTGAGTAAGAC